CCACTGAGACATATTCCCTCACCACACTCTTCCCCTTGTACCTAGGAATTCACATCGCATCCTGCCTTTTTTCCATAACAAATCCATTATTTTTGGTGCATAAAGCACAAATGTATAGAGCTTTTGGAGATGCCTACGATATATCTTCACAGCTGCCAAATCCACTGTTTGCAAAGCAGGTGTTGTTTTTACCACATGCTCTCAAGGAAACGGCTTCCCCGAGCTATGGTTTTCAAGAAAGCAGCCATAATATTTCAAATATGTGTACTATCATCATGACAAGTCTGTCAGTCAGTCTGTCTTGGGAGCAGCTTTATTTTTCCTGCATTAGCTGTGCTGTGATCAGACCTGAGAGCCTCAGTAATGTGGCAGACGCTGAGTAAAAAAAAAAAAATGCAGTGAAAACCCAGTTCTTGCCAAGTTTCCTTGCATTCATTTCAGCTCCTTTGGGAAGAGGGGTTCTGACAAAAAAATCTGTTATTGTGATTAGAGAGGCTTCATTACCATGGTAGCCCCTGCATAAGATCTTCTTTGGTAGGTAAGGGAAGAAAAGGCTTTTTGCATGGGGATGTGCGTGCAGGGGCACAAAACTTGTAAGGATAAGACATCAGCCTCCCTGGTGAAGTCATCTGTGCCCATGCAAAGAAAACACAGGCTGCCCCTGAGTGAAAGCATTTGTATTTTTCACCCATTGGTTCATTTTACAATTCAAAGCCTGACACAGGGGACAGCAAGTCCCGTTTCACATTGGAGTGAAACCTGAGATCCTGCAGCAGCCAGGGCTTTCCCCCCCCAACAATGCCACAAGGAGAAACATCCAGCCTGCAAATTGATGGAAAACTGGCAAGAAAGTCTGCAGCCACCTTCCAGCCTGCCCCCCACTAGTCAGGAGCCCATATCACAGAGGAAGAGGGAAACCCTAGCAGAGATTAGCAGATTCCTTTTCCATGCAGGTGCTTTTAAAGAAAGATCCTTTCTGGAAATTCCTAAAAACCAGGTTATTGTTTTGGATTTTGGGAGATTGATACAGCCTTTGGTCAGAACTGAAAGGCACAATAAGCCTGTTGCTGTTTCCACCTCTCCCTTGACACGTGCAGGATGCAGTAGTCCATTAATTCTGCTCATCTCCAGCATTTGTACCCAGAATTAGCAGTCCTCACTGTTCTCTGCTGGTATCACCTTGGAATAACCCCAGTAGTGTCATCCATCATGTAACCAGCCAGGCAAGGATGCAACACTGGTTCACAACACAAATATATTTGTGTTGACAGGAGGAAAAGCCACGCTCACACTATCCAGTCTCCATGTGGGACTGGGGAATGCTGAGAGTGCACAGCTCTGGCTGAATGGGGAAGAACACTGTCCATGACTGATCTCACAGCTCTGACAGCCCATGAATTAGGGCAAAACAGAACTCAATTAGGGGCTGCAGTAGCCCCTGTCATTCTCAAGAGAACAAGCTGTGAGTGTGCTCCACAGTGTACACACAGGGAGCTGGCGGTATGGACAGCTCCCTGTGCTTGGCAATCACCTTGGCCCGTGATGGAGGCTGTCAGGTGTGTCAGAGAGCTCCCTCTGGCTGCCTGGAGGCACACAGGAGATGTGTTGTCCCTACAGCAAACCACTTTTATCCCATTTAAACTCTCCCACAGAGGCATCAGCTCACCAGACACAGCAGCTGTAAGGAATGCAGAGTAACAAACACTGCACCTCTGAGCTCAGCTCAGATGCTATCCCGGTTTTGGCTGACATAGAGTTCATTTTCTGCCTAATACCTGATACAAATCTATGTTTAGAATGTAATGTGAAAATAAAGTCAGTAACACACTGATGTTTTAGCTGATGCTAAGTAGTGCTCACCCCAAGTCAAGGAATTTTCAGTTTCCCACACTCTGAGGAGCTGTGAGGGAACAAGGTAGGACAGCTGACCCCAACTGCTCAGGGGGACATTCCATACCACACATCCTCATGCCCAGGATATAAACTGGGGGTGTTGGGAGCCACCAATTGCTGCTCAGGGACAGGATGGACATCAGTCAGCAGGAGGTGAGGAATTGTGCTGTGCATCTCTTGTTTGTCTTAGGGCTTACTCCTCTCTCTCTCTCTCTCCCCCATTTCCATTACAATTGTTGTTATTATTATAATATTATATTTTATTTGGCTTCAATTATTAACCTGTTTTCACCTCAACCCAAGATTTTTACTTTTTTTTTCTTCCAAAAATGGTGCAAGAGAAGGGGAAGAGTGTGAGCAAACCAAATTGCCAGCTGGGGTTAAATCACAACAGATGTCTTAATGGGAAAAAAACATCTTTTGGTCCTCGTATGTAGAGTACATGTTACATCACACCATGAGCAGCTGGAATGAAGACATTTGTTGGTATCCACATGTGTGGCTGCTAAAAATGGCCTCATCAAAGCCTGGTGAATCAAAAAGCAGAATTATTATCCCACTCACTTTTTTATTTTTGGGACACAAAAACAAGCCAAAGATGGGGCTGGGTAAATGTCAAGCCACTCAATTTGGCTTCCATTTGTTTTCATTTGCCTCCAAGTAGCTGAGAGCAAAATCCAGATGTGAATGTTGCCACAATCACCTCAGACTAGTCTTTTTACCTGTGCAGAAGCAAAATTCAGTTTTGTGATTCAACATTGTGTAAAGGATTGAGTGATGAGCAGCAGGGAGCTCTTCCAGTGTAAAGGATTGAGTGATGAGCAGCAGGGAGCTCTTCCAGTGCTTGCCATGCTTTTATGGGAGCTGTGCAATGAGGGAAGGCATCCCCCACCTGCCCACTGGGTTGTTACTTCTCCAATACTTCTTGGCTGACATCTCCACTTAACCTTCTCCCTTCTTCTTAATCGTCTTTCATCTCCCTCCAGAATGAAAACACAACTGATCACTGCAGCAGGACTGTGTCACTGTCCCATTGCTCCACCAAACCTACAGATTGCCTTGCCCCACCTGCCCAGATCGCTACAGACGGTACCAATGTCACATCAGTGGTGCTCATCAATGCTGTTCATCAATGGTGTTCATCAATGGTGTTCATCACTGGTGCTCATCAATGGTGCTTATCAGTGGTGTTCATCAATGGTGCTTATCAGTGGTGTTCATCAATGGTGTTTCATCAATGATGTTCATCAATGGTGTTCATCAATGGTGTTCAATGGTGTTCATCAATGGTGTTCATCAATGGTGTTCATCAATGGTGTTCATCACTGGTGTTCATCAATGGTGTTCAATGATGTTCATCAATGATGCTCATCAATGATGTTCATCAATGATGTTCATCAATGGTGTTCATCAGTGGTGTTCATCACTGGTGTTCAATGGTGTTCATCACTGGTGTTTATCAGTGGTGTTTATCAGTGGTGTTCATCACTGGTGTTTATCAGTGGTGTTCATCACTGGTGTTCATCAGTGGTGTTCACCACTGGTGTTCAATGGTGTTCATCACTGGTGTTTATCAGTGGTGTTCAATGGTGTTCATCAATGGTGTTCATCACTGGTGTTCATCACTGGTGTTCATCACTGGTGTTCATCAGTGGTGTTCATCACTGGTGTTTATCAGTGGTGTTCAATGGTGTTCATCACTGGTGTTCATCACTGGTGTTCATCAGTGGTGTTCATCACTGGTGTTCATCACTGGTGTTTATCAGTGGTGTTCATCAGTGGTGTTCATCAATGGTGTTTATCAGTGGTGTTCTGGCACCAAGCAGGGCCAGCCACAAGGACCAAAAGGTGACAAAATACAAACCATGGCCCAAGACTGTAAAGGCACGTGCGATTCTGGGCAAAGACCATGGAGCAGAGCACGACACGGATGTGTCAGAGAACAGGAGAGTGAGGTGCCTTTGCCAAAGGAGCGAGGGCAGAGGGAGAAGGTCTCTGTGAATAATCACATTTTCACTCTTTCCCCGCAGATCCAGAGTGTCACACAACAACTCAAACAGCGGATAGCTTTATCTGCCTTTTGCAGCTGGCAGGCAGAGAATGTGTAGCAACATTACCCCCTACAGTTCAACACCAGGCTCCCACCTTCTCTGAGCTCTCACACGGCACAGGCTTTGGTTTATTTTGAGCCACTGAGGAAACTTCTTACTTTAGTTTACTTCTATTAAACCTGTGCGTGTGTGGGAAAGTCCTGGAGGATGGAAAAGGAGCAGGCAAGTCAGCAGTCTGTGAAGATTAATTACTGCAAATAAACCCTGAAGAAATATACTGCATTGATAGCTGAAATGACTTCCCATGTGCACCTTCTCCTTACTTACAGATTTTTATTCACACATTTTCTAGAAAAATGGTGATTTTTTTTTTTCTACCTTACTTACTGTTTTCATCTGATATTTGAGAAAGACATAAGATGTCTTATAAGATGGAAAAATTACTTTAAATTTCATTTACACATTTGGGAACTTTATTGAGAAACAGGTACATTCTTACACAGAAAGTTGTCTCAAAAAGTTTTTTGGTTTTTTTTCATTAAGTACAAACTTTAAAAGATAAACTACAGCGTTGCTGGCTGATGGGGATGATGTCCCACACTTTCTGCAAGTCTCAGGGGTTCTGTTCCTGTGTCCCTTGCAGGGCTTGAGGTATTCCTGAGTGGCTATTGTCATCCTGTTTTCCTTCTTCTACATTTTCTTAAACATGAGGAAGCACCATAGAGGCCTTTTTTTATTATTTTTTTTTTTTTAAATACCATAAATCTTGTGAAAACCAGGGCAGCTTTAAAAAGGGATGGAAATACCTTTAAATGTTAATGGGTATTAAATTTAAAGCAACGCTTCAGGCAGTGGTGCTTTTGAACACGGATGAGGCAGCACATACACCTGACCCTGTAAAAGCTGAATTTGACTTTTTGGGGGATCATTTGCACCCCTGGGTAGAATTACAGCAAAGCAATGACAGCCAGGGCACACAGAGATACCTTTGAATTCCTCACAGTTTATCATTTATCACTGTAGAATGTTTGAGGTTATTTATTATCTATAAAATTGAAAAGGATTTTGAAATTTTCAGTGCCCAGGCACCAGTCCTGGAGTGACACAAAGGTGCAGAGGAGGAGGAGGAGGATGCTGCATCTTCAGCCCCTGTTCCCAAAAGTCTGCCCTGATGCCCCAGTGATGTGCAGGGGGTGCATCCCTGCCCGTCCCACATGGATACCTGCATTGGTGGAGCCGCTTTCCTTCCCATCCTGAGCAGGTAAGTGACTCCTTCATCTCACCTGTGATGATGGAGGAGGGAAGCAGCTCTGTATAAATACACCTGGAGGGTTGTGGCAGCATCAGAGAGGAGCCAGTGTTGCATTTTGGAGTGCATCACACACAAATTGCAGCTCATATAAATAGCAGGCAAGAGGTTTCCTCAGCCAAGTATGACAACTTCATACGTACCTCCCACAAAAACAGAGGTTTGGAAAATAATTAAACAGAAACCGTGAAATTGCAATCAGAAATCTGAATGCATGCTAGGTCAAGGGTAGAAAATTTAGCACTGATCACTCTGTGGTTTCCCCTTGCTGCTATTAAAAGCATATTTAAGAATCACAAGGAATTCAGTTTCTGGAATAATTTCTTGTGTCCTGCCCCTATAACCACACTTAGATTCAATCAGCAGGGAGCATGTGTGAGCAGTTTCTTGCTGGGAGTGGAAAGCTACAGGCAAAGCCTGTGCAGCCACAGCTTTTAATGGATCTTCTTAGATCACTGCAGCCCTCTGCTTGGGGCTATCTGATTTTTGGTTTAAAAGCACCTTATCTTGACTTAGCAGCGAGGAATCAATTTTGGCTGCAGGTTTCTTTCAGCCATGGCATCAAACTCTGTGGTATTTTGTTTGGAAGGAAGGACATATTCTTTGTCCAAAATAGGAACATATTTTCTGCAAGGTGCTGCATTTGGAGGTTCATGGGGCAGGTAACAGAATTTGCTGTGCAAACAGCACTGCTTAAAGCAAGTATTTTCTTTCCAAAAAAAATATTAAGGTAATAGCTCAGAATTCAAAAACTTTAAACTCATCTGGTTTTCTCTTCCATTACAGAATCCCTGCTAGCAATGCCCAGTTGCTAATTTAACATTTATTAATTTGTTGTTAATTTGAACATACTGTCACAAGTAATCCCATGTTTCTCCATTATGCTTTTGACTTACTTGCAGAGCAGAGCTTGAAGGAGGAGCACAGAGTTAAGACCTGTAGAGGCACATCAGTGCATTCATAGATTAATCCTTTAAGAAAGGCTCAGGGCCAAGAGAGCCAAACACTGAATCAGAAACCAGGATTCCAGTCCCAACAGCGGTTCTGCAGCTCAGGCTGCAGCTGCCTCATTTCCTGGATTGGGGTAAGCATCAAGATACTCAGATCCCAGGAAGAGCAAAAAGAAACCTTTGAACACTTTTAATTTGAGCTTGAGGGACTTCTTCTTGTGTTTGTTGTTGCTGCTATTTATATTTCCTTTTCCACCTCAACTGCCATAATTCTGATTATTACTGTGAGGAAGTAAAGGTGGAAATGCCAGCATCCCCCAGGGCTGACACAGAGGTTTTCACACAGCTGTTGCAAGGCTGGATATCTGTTTTGGGCTCTTCTGGCACAGCACTGAGGACCAGCACTCAAAAAAATTTGGATTGAACTCTGGGTGGGTTCATAATGTCCCAACAGACCAACGAGGAGCAAGTTGTTCTTCCTCAGTGTTGCTGATCCTCAAATTACTCCCATTTCCAGCCCACTTGATTCCCTGTGCAGAGGGTGTGAGCAGGTTTCTGAGCAGTGCTAGAGGATCCCAGACACCTCAGATTCATGTTATATATCAGCACTATCTATTAATGCTAAATATGAGGTCTCTTATGACAGTACGAAATGAGTCTTGCTACAAACCCTTAACAGAGAAATCCAAAACTCTGTGTTTTAAAGAAACCAAAGCTTCAAAGCTCTGAAATCCTGCTCAGCTTCACTAGACCTGCATAAAAAAAGCACAGAACCACAGATTATGCCAAAATAGAGGGACCCACAAGGACAATCATAGTTCAACTCCTGGCTCTGCACAAGACCCCCTGAGGGTCGCACTGTGTGTCCGAGAGAATTGTTCAAGCACTTGAGCTCTGTCAGGCTTGGTGCTGTGACCACAGCTCTGGGGAGCTTGTTCCAGAGCCCAATCACCCTCTGGGTGAAGAACCTTTTTCCAATATCTGACCTAAATCTCCCGTGACACAGCTTCATGTCACTCCCTTCAAAACCAATTTCAAATGCCAAAGCGATGCCAAGTAATTATCGTAAGACACTGCGGCACAGCTGCCTCAAGTTGCTGTGTGATCAGCATATTTTAAGGAGAGTTTTGCAGTGCTATTTCTGGATGTTGCAATCACAGGAGAGCCCCGGGGACCCACAGCACACCTCCTGCCACAGCTGGGCTCCACCATCTCCTTCTCAACGTGGGAGCCCCTCACTTGCAGCAGCCGCTGGGATCCTTCAGGATCTGTTCCCTGCCTGTTCTCACTTACACCAAAGCCCCACAGTGGCAGTTCCTCTGTAGAATATGGACAAATAGGGTCATATTCTGCTCGTGCTTGTGCTGGGGGGGGCACTTCCAACAAGGAGTAGCCAAACCCAGTGCTGCAGTCATGTGGATCAATCCCCTGGCTATAACCAGTTTCGGTGGAACATCTGAGGGCATCTGCTCAGGTGTGCAGGACAGGAGGCAGCAGCCAAAGCACAGAGCTGTAGAGCCCTTTGAGACACCCTGGGGTATCCAGGACATTTTCTTAGAGCTTTTTAATTTTTTTTTTAGGCTTTCCCTGTAGGAAACCTATAATTTTCTGGAGGCTGAGCAAGGTACCTTAGGGCCTCTCAAATGCATGCCCAGGTTTAGGTGACCTAATCCTTCATGGAGGATGAGATTCATCTTGAAGATCAAGAGACCTAAGTCAAAGGTCTTCATGCAGGTGCTGAGATGGGCAGGGTGTCTCATTCCCACCACGATCAGAGGACAGCAGGGGTGTGATTCCACTGCCCAAATGCAGGAATCTAGTGTACTCTGAAATGCTGTAGGGTGCCCTTTCTGGACTTCAGCTGACACCCAGAAGCTCATGGCTCTCAAATGGGTTATATGTGGATGTCTCAGATATCCTGGGATGTACTGGATGGTGATGTCTACATAAGGACACTGGACTGAGTGCTGGATCTTCCTCATGGGACAGCAGCTCAGCACTTTCCTCTCAACACCCACACACCGACACCTTAATTCAAGAGCCAGATCCCATCCTAAGGTTTTTTGTTGTTCTGCAGATCACAGGTAATGCTCCTGTGCTGCTAACGTAGCTGCTTGTGCCACAGTTTCCCTGCACTGTACCTCAAGTGCACAATGGGCTGCACCTTAGCCTGGTGGAGGTTTCACACTTATGTTAACAGGATCAGGAACATGGCCCATGCAAACATCAAATATAAGCCTCTGACCTCTGCACCCAGAGGCAAAACAGCATTAATCACTTTAGAAATGCACATTAATTCTGTATTGATGTAATGGTGTCAAGTAAACAGAATAAAAGATAGTTTTGTTGCCTATCATTTTGAATTAATAGTAGACATTGCACAGATCACTGTAAAACAGTGACAATTAATTATGCCTAAAATATGTGCTTGGAATTTTTCAGGACATACCTAAATGTGAGAACAAAAGGCTTTTCTTCCTCAAAACAAACATAAAATGCTATCTAGTGTTGACTCTTTGCTACTGCAGTCTCGCATAACTATTTCTGAATTAAACAAAATGAGCTGTGAAGTGTTAAGGAGCTCAGCGGCACCTCATGCTCAGGATACAGGAGCTTTGTCCTGTTTCAGTGTCCACTCTGAATTTCAAAGACCATAGAAAGATGGCATTTTTCTGGATTTCGTCGTTGCAGAGGAAAACTGGAGCAGGGAAGAAAGACTGGGAAGAGAGATGCAGAATGAAAGGTCCAACCTGCTGCTGAGCTGGGCACCAGTACTGGCTTAGCTGCACTCACTCTTTTCACTTAGCATACGATCATCTCTAGCTAAAAAACATCTATAATTTTTAATATATTCTATCTGTGTGTATTGTAACATTGAGTTGTATGAACTGCTTATATTAAAGCACTGAAATATGTATTTAACAATGAATGTCTGCATTTAAAGGAGAAGGGATTGAATGGCAATGGACTGAAGAACTATGGGGTTCAGATCAATAACTAATATTTATCTTACGTGTGAGATTTTGGTTTTTTAATCCCTCTTGCAAGATGTCTGAGTTAATTAAAGATCAGATCCTGCCTTCACAGCCTCTCTTGTAAGAGAACTCCTATATGAGGCTGCATTTCCACCAGCAGTTTTTCTGCCCATCAGCCCAGCATTACGACATCTCAGCACATACAAAAACACCTGCTTTAAATTGCCATCAGCCTTGCCTAAGACAGATCAAAACACCTCAGCTTCCCCTGTGTGATGTGCCTCAGAAATGTCACTTTTATCTTCAGCAGGTGACGCCCCAACTAACAGTTTCCATGTTCTTCCAGGGGGAGGGAGCAGAGGGTGGGAAGGGGGAGAAGAGATGGCAGCAGCCATTAACATGACTGCTCACGTGCTGAATTTGCCAATTTCTGATGCCAAATTTTCCTTTGCTGACTCTGTGAGACACGCCCTGCCTGTGGCACAAATAGCTGCCACTGCCCTGCCTGTGAGCTCAGAAGGGTTCACGGGATTTGGGGTTCTTTGCTCTCTCTAGAGAGCATCAGCTCAAGCTTTGGCTATAACACTTTTTTTAATGAGTTTTTAATGTGCCTTGTGGAAGTATATTTGTTTTCAGTCAGACAACTGCAAGTAAAGGCTCAGAAATACTTTTTTTTCCGAAATCCAGTTTTCTTCCTTATGTAAAGGCAGAATGGACCATGCACAACAGACATTGGTCAGGTTTCTATTGTTATGCTGAAGACACAAATGTGTGGTGAGAAGTTAACACCAGTGGGTCCAAGACCCCTCTCCTATCCCAGAAATTGATCAGTGAAAGAGCCAGTGGATCCCAGCAGAGAAAATGTCCTGTTCTACAGCTGCAGGGGGGAAATAGTCAGAGTTCTTGGAGAAGACCAAAGGGTTTGGGAAAAGTTCCTGGCCAACAGGAGGGAACACAGACAGGCAGCAGGAGCCTGCCAGGGCACATGCTGGCCAGCCCTGGCACGCCAGCAGCACACACTGTCCAGCATCTCTCACTTCAGAGAATTAATTCTTCACCAGAACTTGGTGTTCTGTAAGCTTTGGGCATGGATGCCACACTACAGACAGAGGGCAAGGATAACCCACAGGCTGGGCTGGCGCTGTGTACCAGCACGGGAGCAGAAGGGGAGATACCGTTTCACTTCTGCCTGAAAGAAGGAAGATTAACTGGGACAACCAGGATATCTTTTGTTCCCCTGTCAGAGGGGTAAAGTGGCAGCAGCCATTCCTCATAATGTGATTTCACTGCTCCTTGTTCCAGATCCTGGGGTCATGCAGCTCTGGACAAATGTCAGCTGCTGCTAAAATATGAGCTCCAAGATGTAGCCTCTCCAGAAAACAGTCTTTTAAAGGGTAACCCCAAAAGGCTGGAAAACCAAAAGCAAATAAAAATTGTCATGCAAGCCAAAGCACTCATCCTCTCTTTTTTGTCTCAGTCTTCAAAGGTGAGATCCATGACATTTTAACTCTGTGGTGTGGCACTATGAGATAAAAAGCCTATGGGGGCTGTGAAGGCTGGGTGAAGAAGAATGTTACAAACCATTGCTCTGGGACTCCATTTTGCAGCTCTGGTTAAAGACATGCTCCAGCATTAGACAGAAAGACACATTACAGTGAGTGGTTATTATCTAATTAAAATACATGTGATAGTCACCCCTGCATGAAAAGCCAGAGAGGTGCAGTAACACCCCAAAGGATCCTTCCCTGCAATGGCATGTTCCAGGCTCTCAGAAGTTGATGCAAAGGCAGCAAACTGCCTTGTCACAGGACGTGATCTCCCACTGAGAATCCCTGGGGAGAATATGGGAAAGGAAATATCCTGAGCAATAATACTACAGGCTTCACACCTCAGACACAGGCACTGCTTCAGTGTGTGTGAACTGATCCCATGGCCTGTGGTTCTGGGCCTTTACAGTACAGAAAGGCACCATGGAAAAAGTATCTTGGAGCTGCAGACTTGCACATGTTCTAAGGGGAGGGAGGCAGTGAAAATGAAGGTCCGTGCCCAGGTCTCAGTCTTTCCCTCATCAGTGTGGTCCCAGTTTCTGGTGGGTCTGTGCAGCACACAGGCACTCATTCTGGCTCCCAGGGACAGAATCAAAGGATCAGAGAATTATTAAGGTTGGAAAAGATCTTTGAGATCATCAAGTCCAACCCTTAACCCAGCACTGCCATGTCACCACTAAATCATGACCCTGAGTGCCACAATCACATCATTTTTGAATGCTTCAGAGCGTGGTGCGCCCACCACTTCCCTGAGGAGTTTACTGCAATACCTGACCCCCTTTTCAGTGAAGAAATATTTCCTAGTATCTAATCTACACCTCAACTGGTGCAATTTGAGGCTATTTGAGATGCTTTGCAAAGGAACAGAACCTGGAGCATGCCCATCATGGGCAAGCACTGACTTTTTTAATTCCTGAGTTTCTACTGAATCTGTACCACACACAGTGACTGCTGCAGGTCTCACCTGATTGATGCAGTCCAATATTCCACCTACACCAAGAGTTTTCCAGCTTAGATAGGTCAATTAAATATATGATGTCCTTAATCTGGACAAATATGGGCCAAAGTGACCTTGGAAGGGGTTCTGAATTGCCCACTGACAAGATGAACCTCCCCAGCCAACATCCTCCAGCTTTTTCCCTACTTTTGTGCTTTTTCTCCATTCATTTACTGTTCTCCTCCTCATCCTTCATTTCTGAGAAATCCCAAAGGTCTGGCAGCAAACCTGCTGATCCTGAGAGCTTTGCTTTTCCTGCATTTCTGCCACCAGGGAAGCTCATGCCATTTGGGTAAAAATTGAAATATTGACACATGAAATGCTCTGAAGGAACTACCTCAAATGCCTGTGGGAAGTACCCTGAGCGTGAGAGCTTTATTCTGAGATGTTTTTTAACACTTTTAAACCTTCCCTTGCTAACAAAAAGGTCAAAAATCCAACCTGAAAATACCTTTCTGCAGAGGTAACACAACCTGAGGGTGATTCATATCACCTTGAGACCAGAGCACAGTTCCCAACTCCCTTCACTGGGAATTGAGGTTTTTACCTTGGGTATCCCACTCACAGCATGGCAAAGACAAAGAGAAGACACTGGGTCTGAAACAGCTCTTCATTATCCCAGGCTGACACTGCACAATAGTGCCGAGCATCCTGACTCCTCAGTTTCACAAGTCACTGGTTTTTCTGCTAATTTTAGAGCATTTTAGCACCTTTCCCCCTTAGGAAGCTCTTTCTTCTGACTGTTTTTTTTTGCTATATAATTGTTTTTTTAAGCTTCTCACTGATACACTGCACTGGAGGAGAACCAAAAAACTTGTGGAAGGTTTAGGAGGAGGGAAGGACAATAAAGGTATGATCCTGCCCAGGAATTTTCACTCATTGCCCACCTAATCTGCAGTGGTCTGGAGGCAGAAGCTGGCTGCTCACAGATCACATCCCGCTGCTCTTTGGGTGCAGATTTTATAACGGAAAAATCCTGCAAATAACAAAACCTTGGGAAGGCAGCTACTTACTGAAAGAGAATGAGTCACTGTGTTTACCCTGCAGACTGTGATGTGAAAGACAAGAAGCCACAAAAGGTCACAGAGGAGTTGTCTCCTTGCCACTTATTTTGTCTGTTCCCCCAACAAAGGCAAAGCCATCTGCGGTACAAGCAATGAAGCAGTGATGACCAAGAGATTTCAAAAGGACATATGAGGAGTGCCAAAGACTCTGGATAAAAAAAGCCAGTGAACAAGGGGAGTCACACAGCTCTTTGTGTAACCTTTACTCTGCTGTTAAGTGCGCCAGTTTATAGCAATTATGGAAAAGCCACTGATTGTATTATAAATGTAATGACATTAGCAGGACTGTCACTGTGTTTGTAGCAACAGTTGTGAAATTAATTTTTTTCTTCATTAAGGAGATCCTTATTTGCATGATTAAAATGTCAGCCCAGATAAATGCATGTGCTGGAGAATGAATCACTGAGCAAAAATGCCACCTGCCAAGCCCAGAGAATAGGACAAATAAACAAGCAGCGAGGAGCAGCTCAAAACTTGATCCAGCTCCCAGTGGGAGCCGTTCCATCATCCTCGGGAGCGGCAACAGGCTCCAAGCGAGCGCCAAGGCGAGGGGGCTCAGCCAAGAAACAGCTCAGATGCTTGGGATTTTTGCTCTGGCCACACTCAGCTAGTACAGAAGGGAAAACTAAAGCCTAATAAAACCAGGCATTCTCTGCTGTGGTTTAGAAGGTACAAAAATCTACATCTATGAAAGAGAGCAAAATATTTTGCTGTCCAAACTCACTCCTTTCCTACTGTTTGCTAAGTCAAAAGCCCAGCCATGACCCCTCAAATGTGGCTGAAACCCATCAACTCTTGCCTGCTACTGGAAATCAACAATGTTTCCTATTTACCTTCAAGCTCCACTCAAATACTTCCTGAGATGAATCCACACTAAAATATGTGCCCTCTTAAGAAGTTCCAGGCTCAGAAACTGACTTACAGCCGTCCCCAAAAGTGCTGGATCCCAAAAGACAAAATTGAGAATAAGTGTGTGAAAATCACTGGGTTTTTTTCCTTTTTGCCTGAAGTTGAGAAGGGAAGCTGAAAAGATAACAGAGTGTCAAGGATATAGAAGATTTTATCTGGTTTAAATAGCTCCTGATCCCGCCAGAGCATTTTCACCGATAATTAACACAGAGGAAAAAAAAAAGGATAAGGAAAAGGTACTATTTTAAACTGAGTTACTCCTTTTAAAGCTCATAGACACTCTTAATATCTGTTCTTATCTGTTTCTCATGGCAAATTGCACGATTTGGATTTTCGTCCATTTTAGAAAATGCAACAAAGAAAGTAAATTTGGTGCTTCCTTAAAATTCCAAGGAAATATGTTCGTTATTCAAAAAGCTGGGCTTTGATACCTTGGAAAAAAATCCAAATTTGCTTTATATTTTGTTTTATATCACTTGAAAACTTTAAAAAAAAGCTTTAAAAGCTGAAATGCAAAGTCATCTAGATAAACAGAACACTTCACTCTGCAAAGGTAAGAACAGAGACTTTGGAGGCAATGCAAGGCTGTGTCCTTGAGGAGCCATGGGCACAGCCCAAAAGAAAATTTCTTAAACCAGTGCATTTCAGTGAAATTCTGTTAGAAAATTCACACATCCTTCAGAATAACCTGTCAGACATGACCTGAGCAGCTCCGCATGAGGCCATCACACCCATCCTGGGGAGCAGAAGTGCCCTGCAGAGTGACTCAGTGGCAGGACAGGCAGGATAGGCAGGACAGGCAGCTGCCAGCTCAGGAT